GTTTTATCTGTTCCTCCTTGAGTAAATGAATTTTCCAGTAAGAAAGTTGTAAGACGTTCAAACCAAGCCCTAGGTGCTTGATTGAGGCCATTCAACGCTTTTTTTAGTTTATAAACGTGATCAGGATGCTCAAAATTCACAAAACCTGGAGGTTGAGATACATACACTTCTTCTTGAATGATATCATTCAAGAATGCGCTCTTCACATCCATTTGATATAAAGGGAATCCCATGTGACTAGCAAAAGCACATAATAACCTTATAGACTCTATTCTAGCTACTGGAGCGAAGGATTCATCAAAATCGATGCCTTCTTCTTGAAGATACCCATGTGCCACCAACCTAGCTTTGTTTCTTATTATGAACCCTAATTCATCAGACTTGTTTCTAAAAACCCACTTAGTTCCTATGACAATAACATTAGGTGGACGAGGAACAAGGTCCCAAACATGCAAGTATTCAAATTGAGTGAGTTCCTCTATCATAGCAATACTCCATTCTTCATCATTTAAGGCTTCCTCAACATTCTTAGGTTCTATTTGAGAAACAAAGGCATATTGTCCAGGAGTGTACTTACCTCGAGTTTGCAGTCCATCACTCAATTTTCCAATGACTTGACTTTCTGGATGTCTTCTCTGAATGTGTGGTGGAGCCTTTGGTTCTTCAGTAGACTTATCCAGTGCTTCAACTCCTTGATTTATGGATTCTTGAGTGGATGATTTCTGCATATCTGTAATCTGTTCACATGAAGAATCTTGGCTAGTAGTTAGTTCACTTAAGTCAACTAGCATAGTAGTATCTGGGATAACCAGATCAGTTTCATTGAAAACAACATGAACTGATTCTTCTACCTTCCTAGTTCTCTTGTTAAATACCCTATAGGCTTGACCTTTAGTTGAATACCCAAGGAATGTTGCTGGATCAGATTTAGCATCAAATTTTCCAAGTGAATCTCGAGTATTTAGAGTATAGCAAGGACATCCAAAAGGATGAAAGTAAGAGATTTTGGGAGCTTTTCCTTTTAAGATTTCATATGGAGTTTTATTTAACTACTTTCAAACTAAGACTCGATTGATTGTATAGCAAGCAGTGTTGACTGACTTGGCCTAGAAAAACTTAGGCAGGTTATAATCTAATAGCATGGTCCTAGCACACTCAATGAGAGTTCTGTTCTTACGTTCTACAACTCCATTTTGTTGAGGAGTTCGAGGAGCAGAAAAAGTGTGTTTAATTCCTGTTTTATCACACAGCTCAGCAAAGTTATCAGAGATAAATTCTCCCCCATTGTCACTACGAATTGCCTCTATAGATTGATGATGCATAGTGACAAAGGATTGAAATTTTTCAAAAGTTTCATCTTTAGTAGCTAGAAAGTATACCCAGGTAAACCTGGAATAGTCATCTCTACTAAGACAAAAACGTAGTTCTTACCACCCATACTAGTGACATTGCAGGGTCCAAACAAATCCATATGAATTAACTCAAAAGTTTTGGCAGTGGTAATATCTAGCTTAGACTTAAAGCTTTTTTCTTATGTTTACCTGCAGCACAGGCATTACAGAAAAATTCAGCTTTTTCTTTAAGTTTGGGAATTCCTCTGGCTAGACTCAATTTAGACGGTACTTCTAATTTAGGCATACTGATATGTCCAAGGCGTTTGTGCCAAAGAACTTCAGGTGAAACTGATGTGGCCTGGAGACATTTAGCATTAAACATGCTTAGGTCAGAGACATCTACCAGATACATGTTATTAACTCTTTTTCCAATGAACAGAGTTTTGTTTTCATTGACCTGTTCCACAGAGCACTTATTATTCTCAAAAATCACTCGATTGCCATTACTGTATAACTGACTTATAGATAGTAAGTTATGTTTTAACCCTTCTACAAGTAATACATTTTTTATGACAGGTCCATGTGTTTTACCTATGTTACCAGAGCCTATGATAGTCCCTTGACTATCGTCTCCAAAGGTGACTTTACCTCCACGTTTCATAACTAGAGAATTGAACAGATAGTTCTTACACCCACTGTCAAGATACCATTGTGAATCTTCAGGAGTGTGACAAGATTCCTGACTTTTCAGTGGCTGTTTTGTGAAGGCCATGAGTGCTTTTTCCTCTTCTTCCTCTTCTTCATCGTCAGACTCAATGTCACTCCAAGTAGCTTTCATGGCTCTTTCTTTTGCCTTCGGTGTCATTGGACAGTTAGCACGAATGTGCCCTGGTTTCCCACATTTGTAGCAGTCCTGTGCTTCAAAATTTCCTGTTTCAACATGTTTGGTCTGCGGAGTACGCAGCCTATCTTGAAAGGAGCTTTTGACCTTGTCAAAAGGATTATCACGAAAAGAGGTATTTCGATCAAAGGAATTTTGTTTCTGTTCTTGTTTGTATTTAAGCATTCTGTGAAATTTACTACTTATCAGGGCAAATTCTCTATTAAATTCATCACTTAAATCAGTATCAGAATCATATTCAACGACTTGAGATCTAAAAGCTAGACTTTTCTTTCGTTTCTCCTCATCTTTATTAACTTGCTTCAGAACATGTTCATGACTAAGAAGTGACCCAATTAGTTCATCTATAGGCAAAGTGTTTAGATTTCTAGCTTCTTCTATTGTTGTTCTCTTTGGTAGCCATTGCTTAGGGAGAGACCTCAGTATTTTTCAATTTAGGTCTTTAAGAAGATAAGTTTTCCCTAGTCCTTTCAATATGTTTATGAGAACAGTAAAGCGAGAATACATTTCATGAATTCCCTCACCTGGAGCCATTTCGAAGCACTCGTACTCGTTAACCAGAAGATCAATTCTGGTTTCCCTTATGTTCGATGTCCCCTCGTACGTGTTCTCGAGCGAGGTCCAGATTTCCTGAGCTGATTCGCAGTGCTCCACTTTGTCGGCTTTGTCTGGTGCCATCGCTGATTGCAGGATGTGCATGGCTCACTGGTTGAGCTGAGCGCTCTTCTTTTGTGTTGCTGACCAAGTATTCTACTCAGCATCCTCCATAACAATCGTGCCATCTCTTACGAGAGTCCAGAGATCCTCGTCTACTCCCCCCAGGAAAGTCTTCATTCTTTTCTTCCATGCTGTGTAGTTTGACCCGGTGAACACAGGGGGATGGTTGTAAGAGGCTTGCCCGAAGCTAGTGGATCCCATGGATTTAGGATCTGTCTTGGCAGTAGTTAACTCTTTCAAGAACCAGGCTAGCTCTGATACCACTTGTAAAAAGTGGGAGAGCTCTTCGAGAAGAGAGAAATGGAGGAGATCGGAAATGGAAGAGATCGATTAGGGATTTTGACTGATCCCAGTCAACTGAGACGAAATACTCAATCAGAACGAAACGTTTCAAATTCGTCTGACTTGTGCTGGACTCAAGTGGGCCGACAGTGGAAATAGCCCACTGAACATATCAATCAAGTACTGGGCTTGATTTTAACCCGAGCCCACACTTAAGTACACAGCAGACAGAAGAAGTTCTTCTTCTTCTTCACTGAACCAGAGAAAACAGAAAAAAAGAGGAAAGAAGAACAGGGGACGCAGAAGGAAGGAAGTCGAAGGAAGAGCAGAAAGTAAATGGCACAGCAGATTTTTAACGAGGTTCGCCACAAGGCTACTCCTCGTCCCGGAATAGTAGACACTATCCCGAGAGACACTTTTGAGTTTCTTGACTCTATAGCAAAAGAGAAAGACCCAAATACAGACTCGAATGTGAAAATCAAAAGCCAAAGTAAAGACAACCGAATTCTCGCAGGAATTCACCACAACCCTTGATCGTCTGAACCTATACCTCAGAACTAATCAAGGCCACTGATAATCCCCAACCCTTTGCCCTATTCCACAAAGAATCCCAGAACCAGTATCGAAAATAGACTCTGATCTTCCTTTATATAGGTTCCAGGGAAGTAGCCGTTAAGCCGCTGTCATTCGAAAGATTTCAGCAAAGGGAGGTTTGAGGATTTGCACAGCTGCTCCCCCTTGATTGCGGCTCCAATCTTCTTTGATTTCTTTAATTCGAATCGAGCAATCTCGTGACTTGATTTGATTGAGAGCTTTCAATCCAACAGAGTGGAGGGTCTAGAGGATTACATAGCATAATTGATGAACACATTCAGGTACATGATTACCAAAGATAAGCTCCTATGGAAAGGGCTTCAAAACATTGAGTATCGTGACCAATATACTAAGTCGGTTAGACAACAATCAGCATAAACTCTAAGCAGTACATTCCAAGGTAAATGAACTAGGCGATGAAGCTCCTTTGAAAGCTATCACTCTGAGAAGTATGAATGAGACATTAGAAACACCCTCGAGACATCCATCAGTCGAGAAAATCTATAAAATCGACCAAGGGTTGAACCTACTTCATACTATATCATATTCTAAAGACCAGCCCAACTTCATTCCTTAGAATGATTGTTACTGTTACAACACCAACTCTGCTCAACCCTCGACTGCAAAAGAAGGCAATGCTTGTGAATCATATCACTAAAGCTCTGCAACCAAAAGCTCCTTGCCATGCTTGACGTAACAAGATTAATGCACATCACGATGCGAAATTTCATAAATTCCTTCAGATGCTTGAAAAATCAACATTAACATGCACTTTATTAACGAAATTGCTAAAATGCCCTAGTATGTGAAATTCGCGAAGGATGTGCTAGCCAAAAGAAGGAAATTAGGGAATATGTCTTCTGTCACATTGGGCGGCAAATCTAGATAATCTTGCACCCATTCGCATGGCCATACAGTTAGCAGACATATCATCTCGTCATCCTAGGGATATTTTAGAAGATGTAATGGGTTTATGTAGAGTCATCTACCTTTTGTGCAAATTTGGTAGTTATGGATACCAATGAGTTGTCAAGTGTAAAGAAAACCTGGCGCAACTCCATTGTTCAAATTTCTAGCTTCGCCATCAAATTGCGTTCATAGATAGATAATTTGGGATACCACTAACTTATTTGCAATTGTCAAGTTCAGTAAGTGTTCCACATTTCATGGTACCCTAAGTCAGCGCATTATTGGTAGGAGCTAGCAAACGGACTAGAGAGAATTCAAATTACAATACATAAAACTAATTCTCACTAAGAAAATTGCTCTAATAAGATTGTTAGCATCCATATTACGCAAAAGAAACTGAATTCACTATACGATGCTCAGGATCAAGCAGTTGCATGGCAAGAAAATGGAAACGAAGCTATGGATGGCAATCAAACCCATGGCCACAGGTACCCGACCTCCCCCGACCCAGTCAACGCGGGAAATCTCCGCTTTGATCGGGTATGGGGCGGGTATGGGTAAAACCCGCAAAAAGTTTGATGGGTATGGGGCGGGCCGTCCCATACCCATACCCGTCCCACCAAGAGAATTTCTTCACATATCAAAAAATATGTGGATTAAATTGTAATCTATCAATGATGATATGATAACTCGAGGAAATAAATAGTAGAAATGCAATTGAGGAACTACCTTAATCAAAACCTAAATCATTTCCCTCAGTTCTCCTTCCACTCTTTCACTTTCCCCCTTGTCAACTAGGGGTGGCTATACGGTACGGTCCGGTTAAATTGGACCAAATTGATCCGATCCCACTCCGATCTTTTCAGGAATATAAGGACCAAAGATTGGATTGGATACACTCCGGTCTTGATCCGGTCCGGTCCCAATTTGATTTTGATTTTACATTGAGTTTGTGGGGATTTGAGTGTTGGGGTCTCTTATCCGGTCTTTATCCGGGTTTTTTACCTCAAATCTAAGCCCGAATATGAGATTGGATTGTTTGTTATCCGGTCCCAGTCCGGTCCCGATCCGGGTTATACGGTCCGGTTTCGGGTAAAACCAAACAGTCCTGGACCAAATTGTCAGCCCTATTGTCAACAAGATTATGTTAGTTAATTATTACTTAGTAAATGTATCAAGAGTTAGAGCATAATAATTTAAAAAAATATTGTAGTCAATATTATGTATTAATGGATGTTTTAGGATCATATTCTTTGAATCGTATTTAGAAAATGACCGTGTTTTGTTGACTTCATGATATAATAGGTTTGTTTATGGTTATAATTAAAAACCTTTCTTGTAAGTTTTAGGTATAATAATGTTGGATGTACGGGGATAGATATTACCCATTGGTACCCGAAACCCACGGGTATGGGGATGGGGTTGCAAAACATTCCCCCGCATAGGTATGGAGCGGGTATGAGTTTGGGTATTTGAAGATGGGGATGGGGATGGTTTAGGAAAACCCGCCCCATTACCATCCCTAAACGAGCTTGAGTATATGGATAGTAGCGTGATGCATCCCGGTTTAATACTTAATTAATTAATTAATAGCACACTTCAACAATATGGATACCTGTAACGGTTAGCGTCACTGGTTCAGTCCCCCAACTGGTCTCACAAACATTGGCAAAGTTGGTTTTCATTGAAGGCTATTAACGGACTGAAAAGGATGAGGGTCTTAGGTCGATAAGGACAAATTACCGACTATAATTCCCAACCCACGGCAATTCCTATTACCAAATCAGCCTTCCACATTGCAAGCAGTGGTCAAGGCGGACAAGTAAAGCTTTAACTGAACTGATAGGATATTGATACCAAGATGGTGATTCTATTCTCACAAAACTTCTGCAAACATTACTCTTTCAACTACAAATATAGATGTTGGGAACATAGAGACCAGAAAACGCTTGGTAACATAATATCCAATGATCCAGAAAAGATTGATAACATAACATCCCAGGAGCTATGGCTTAGTCAAAAGTTGTGCAACCTCTAAAGCTTGAAAATAAAAATAAAATAAAAAGGTGAAACGTCTAGTTCATCCTCCTGATGAGCTCATTGATATAATCCTCACGGTTTCCAGCATCACCACCTTCCACATAGTGGTTCCTCTTCTTCTTCAACCCGCCCAATGGAGCGCTAAGCTTGAATGGCCACAGGAAGTTGTTGGCCTCCTTGAAATGAGGGCCAACAGTCATGATCTCGTGAATGAGATCTTCCACACAGATGATGCCAAACTTTCCAAGACCCTGCCAAACGTTTAGGAACAGATCATTGACTATTGTACTTATAAACTAAACAGAGACGATATAAATGTACAACAGATTGCTCATTAAGGTTACATACCTGTTCAACAATGGCATTGTCGGTCAAGGGAATTCTCTGTTTGTCTAGCTTGCCAAACCCCCTCTTGTAAATCAACTCCTTGACAGATTTAAGATTAGGGTATCTGATAGACATTACAATAGAATCAGGTGGAGCCACCAACACATATGAAACTCGGAAAACATAGGAGCTTGATAAACAGGTTCTAGTACAAAGACAACAACCCATACCCATAAGTCACATAGGGCTCAACTCTCCTGAGCATGTTCACGGTAGCCTTGTTGACCTTGAGGAACACGCCATTGAAGATCTACACAAGATAATTAAGGTTCAAGACTCAAATTAAAACAGTAAAGACTAAGAATGAACATCACAGGCAAAGTAAGAAATTACCTGTCTCAGACGGAACAGCTGCAAAATCTTCCTAGTCTTTGGGTCCATGGCATTAATACTATCAACAAACAATGGGATTTTAAGTCAAGAAACAGCCACTTTGCAGAAACCTTGTATCAAAACAGGGTAAATAACCACAGTAGAAGAGCAAAATTCGAGTCATACCCACGAATGCGGACAATGAATAACAGCTTGGCCTCTGGGCTGACATAGAAGCCACCCTTAAGTTTGGCCTCTCTCTTCAACCTGATCAACTCCCTCTCCTGTATGAGACAGAGGGGATCAAATCGCAGCAACCAGTAATTCTACCAATAGTGTGACCAAACTGATACCGAAACCAAATTGAAAAGCCACTAAGCAGCATAGGTTGGAGATGCAAACCTGGTCCTTGTACTCCTTGGCATATTGCTCAGCCCTTTTGAAGATGATCTTCCTGTTCTCGGCACTCTTCTTCTTCTGTGCCACTGTTGCCTGGGTCTTGGCCAAAGCCCACTCGTCATTTCTCTTCCTCTTCTTCAAAACAGACTCGGGAACAATAGCAGCTACCTTAGCTTCTTCTGCCATCTCTACTACCTCGCCAGAACGCAAGAAACAAACAAATCCAGAATATCAAACACCAGAAGACCATTGACGGTATCGCAGTAAAGCTTAAGAGAACAAACAGTAAAGCAGAAAATGAAGCTCAGAGAACAGAAACAGAATCAAGCCAACAAAAAAGAGGGTATTGCATTCGCAACGCATAGTCTAGATCCAGAAAAACAAAATCTTTAAGCAGACTAGTAAATGAGGACGAGGAAGTACAAGTGGAATCGGCAAGCTTTAACAAAAATCCGTAACAGCTAGACAATGGCAAGGGAAAGGAACATTAAACCGGGAGGAGATTATCGCTTACCTCTGATCTCGACTGCACAGAATATCTGTAGCTCCAATGGCTAGTAGGGCGGCCTGGAGGAGAAGAGAAAGGAGATGCTAGGGTTTTATCGGAGTGGTTTTAAATATAAACCTAGAGCGTCCCCTCGTATCTGGGCTATGTCCACATTTAGGGCCGGGCTTGTGGACAGTGGACAGTACGCCGACTCGTTTATATAAGTAGCTCAGCCCAGCCCAAATTTCGGCCCGTCCTACTGGTTGGCAACCAATTTTTCACCTTTACTGGAGTGCTTCAGCTAATCAGATTTCCCCAAAGTCCAGATAGGCAGATAGGCAGCAAGGGTTTTGTCCGCTGCTTTACTGCTAAAATGTATCCCTTGTCCAGGATTATTCTTCAAGTACCTTAGTACCCTGAAGGTTGCTTGTAAATAATCACTATAAGGCTATTTTTGAAATTGGCATAACTGTTGCACTATGTATGTTAAATCAGGCTTGGTGATTGTCACATAGTGCAACCTTCCAATCAGCCTTTCGTAAACTTCTGCATCTTCCAAAGGGGTCCCTTGGTTTGCTGCTAGTTTTACCTTAGGGTCTGAAGGTGTGATGCATCCCTTTGCTTCCAAGTATCCAGTGTCTTTTAGCAGCTCCAAGGCATACTTCCTCTGGCAAACACTAATCCCATCTGCAGTCCTGTTTACTTCCATTCCGAGGAAATATTGTAGAGGTCCTAGTAGTTTTATCTTGAACTCTTTACTCAATGCTTTCTTGATTTGCTCTATATCCTTTGGGTCATCTCCTCCTATGATGGTATCATCAACATACACCAATGATATCACAATTCTGCCATGCACGCACTTAGTGAATAGAGAGTAATATGAAGTTGATTGAGGAAATCCATTCATCATCAGAAAACCTGTTAATTTTGCAAACACTACCTTGATGCCTGTTTGAGCCCATACCGTGATTTCTTAAGCTTACAGGCCATTCCTTTTGGATCAATACCCTTCAGATCAAGTCCCATAGGTATCTTCATATATACCTCTTCTTCTAAATCTCCATGAAGAAAAGCATTTGAAACATCTAACTGCTCTATGTCCAATTTTTAATTGATGCCACTACTAGTAGAGCTTTCACTAAGTTTATCTTAGCTACTGGGGAAAAGGTGTATAGGAAGTCAATTCCATAGACATGAGTGTATCCTTTTGCCACCAGCCTAGCTTTAAACCTTTCTATAGTGTCATCTGCTCTTCTTTTGATTTTAAAAACTCACTTATAGACAATGGCTTTCTTTCCATCTGGCAACTTCATAACATCCCATGTTTGGTTGTGCTCTAAGGCCCCAAGCTCTTCTTGTACAACCCTGTTCCACACATCTGATTGCATCGCCTCATAATAGGTAGTTGGCTCAATCTGTGAGATAAAACTCAATGCAAAGGCCTTGTCAGCAACATTCAAGTGATCTAAGTCCATATCAATAGGATACTTAGAAACTGCTGCACAGGAACCAAAAGCCCCAAAGCTCACATCAGGATCCAATTCACAATTATCGAACTTAGCAGGTAACTTATGAGTCCTTTGTGGTCTCTTTGATGGTTCAAAGTCCGGTTGTGGTTCTAACTCTGCTTCCATCTCAAAGTCCTGAGGACTATAAGGTGTGTAAGGTGCTCTAGTTTCAGTGTCATCACTAACAAACTCAGCTTCAGGTTCTTCTTCTGCAGGAGGTGTAGGTTGGCCCCCATCAGCAGAGGGTGATACAGGTGATGAAAAGGTAGAGGAAGAAGGTGAAAGGGTTAGACCAGGAGCATTAATTGGAGGATGAGAAGTTGGAAGTGGAATTTGAGTAGATGTGGAAGGATCAAAGTAACATAAGTGTAGGAATCATGTCTGAAAGGAAGGATAGACTCATGAAACACCACATCCCTGGATGTGAAAAGTTGGTTATCTTTAAGATCAAGTAACTTGTATCCCTTAAAACCAGATGAGATGCTAAATAGTACACACTGTCTAGCTCTAGGATCAAATTTAGATCTCCCTGCTACTATTGTACTAGCATACACCAAACAACCAAAGACCCTTAAATGGCCTAAGAATGGGGATTTCTTATAAAGGAACTCATCTGGTGACTTGTTGTATAGGATTGGTATAGGGATCCTATTATTAAGATAGACTGCATGAAGAATACAGTCACTCAGGTACAATAGTGGAATGCCAGACTAAAACCTGAGGGCTCTAGCCACATTTAAAATGTGCTGATGCTTCCTTTCTACCCTAGCATTCTGCTCTGGGGCATAAACACATGACATCTGGTTCTCTATTCCTTCAGCCATGTAAAAATCACATATGTCGAATTCCCTGCCTTGATCACTTCTTACTTTTTTGACAGTGGTGCCAAACTGATTTTTAACCAATTAACAGAAGCCTTTAAACAAATTTCTGGCTTCACTTTTGTGTTTCATAAGGTAAACCCACACTGCTCGTGTGCAATCATTAACCACAGTTAAAAAATAGACATAACCATCATAGGAAACAATTGATAAAGGACCCCAAATGTCAATGTGTATTAACTGAAAGGGTTATGTTGCAGTACTAGTGCTAATAGAAAATGGTTGTCAATTGTGTTTAGAAAGATGACAGACATTACAGTGATCCGACTTAGAAATGGAAACAAAAGAATCTAGTTTGTGCAACAAAGTTTGCCTATCACTACTTTGATGACCTAGTCTCCAATGCCATAGATCAACTTGATGGGGATAGAAGTTGTAGACACTAGACAGCCGCAGTACATGGTCTGCCATGGAAGTTCACGCTCTTACAGGACCGCGAACAGGAGCCATATTCCGTGAACCAAGAGGCACCTAGAGAAGATTTTGAGGTTACTGACGCCAAGGCTGTTCACGGTCGCTAAGACCATGAATAGAAGCCACAGATCGTGAACCCCAGGATGTGAAGCGATGCGTTTTGGTTCAGACTCAGTGTTCACGGATGCTTTTCGATATTCACGGCCATGAACTAGGCTCGATCTTAGTTTAAAGAGTCAGCTAAAAGGAAGAAGAAAAAGGGTAGACCTTGTGTGAGAAACTTCTTCTTCTTCAGGTTTAGAGTGAGAAAGTGACGAACCAAAGAAGAGGAGAAGTTAGGGTTTCATCTCCAAGCAAGGATTTGGGAATTCCTCTCCCAAAGGAGGATCTCTTCAACACAAGGAGCAAGGCTTTCATCTTCTTGATAGTTTTCCTTTCCCTCTTTTGTGTTTTCCCTTCTCCTAGTATGGAGTAGTCTCTTATTTCATTGGGGTGTTTGTAAACCCTATTTAACACTCCAGTATTTTAGATTTGGGTTCGTTTAAGAGTTACAACCAAGGATTAAGAATAATAATAATAACTATTATTATTATATTATTAAAAAATAGCCAAAGGAAGGCTGGGCAGCCAGCCCTTTCCCATCCCCAAAACCTTCCTCCCCCTATTTTATTCTTTTTCCCCACCAGCGCAACAGAGAGGGAGAAGAAGAAAAGAGAAAGAAGAAAAAGCAAGAAAGAAAAGAAAAAAGGGAGTCGGCCCACCGTCGCCTTCCTTCTTTGGATCCTGTTCCCGACTTCCCGATCAGTGACTCCATCCCCTCGTATATCTAGCGTTTGCGGTGACATTTGAGGGTTCGAACATCGCTACCGAGGAGATCAACGTCCCGGGCCATCCAATCTAGTCCTAGGCACGTTCTAAAGGTAAGAGAACTCGACCCCTTTGAGTTAGATCGATCAATTTGGAGATTTTTCGTGAGGGTGCAATTTTGGGTTTTTAGCAAAAGGCGTTACACGGTTTTAGTGACAAATTTTGGGTATACTAAAGCTGCTGGAAATTTCCAAAAACGTAATTTTGGATGTTTTAATTCTTTCAAGTATCTGTTGATGTTTATTTTTGGGTTTAATAATTTTATAAATTGAGGGAGGTCTAGGAGATGGCTGTAATTTAATTTGGGGGTTTTTGAATATGTATTTCTATTTTTAGAAATTGCTCAAATATTCGTTTTAATAAATAAAAATCTTTCCGAGAGGTTTTTAAGGGTTTGATAATTTTCTAAGGTATAGGTGCTCATGATTGACATGGAAAAATTATTATCCAAAATTTTAAGAAGGTTCAAGTTAGGTGAAAAATTCGCCTAAGATAAAACTAATTAAGAAAATGGACGGTTTTGAAGGCATTATTTCTAGAAAAATTTTAGTGGGGGTTAAGGGACCTTTGGAATGAGGCTCGAGGACTGGAGTTTGAGGAGAGGATGTTCTAGTGATTCAAAAGGGGTTTTAAATCAAGAAAGGTCGTCTAAGAAAATGGATTCTTATTAATAGGTTTCCCCAAGACAATCCGGCTAAGGAGGGGTTTCTTCGAGGAAGGAATTGAGGAGTCATCTTTTCGACGTGAAAAGGGGGTAAATTCTCTGTCGTATGTCTTTTAGTTTATGCTTTTCGTTCATGTTATTATTGAGCTAATTTTTGAGTAATGCGCGATATGTGTGTGAGGCATCCCACTGCCTACTTAAGGGTGGAGGCACGCGTTGTGCTATGTATGAATGTATGGATGTATGATTGTAATGGTTGATTAATGGTAAGAGGAACCCTCGGGCGGTTGGGTCACTACTGGACGGCGAGACATAAAGCAGTAGTTGACGAGCATGGACTAGACGGCGAGACGTAACGCAGTGCCATTGTTGAGTTTGGGTATGCAACCGGACGGCGAGACGTAACGCGGTTGGCATACTAGGGTAGGGACGCCGGACGGCGTGACGTAACGCGGTGGTCCCTAGTGTTGGTGTCTATGGATTAAAAATATAAGTAAGGAAATTCTATAGATAAGATACGAGTAGAGATCCCTTATGAACTGTTTGATAATAAAGTATGAAGGATGAAAGCGAGAACGACTTTGGTCTAAGTCGAGAACCCTAATAATGTGTTTAGTAAGGAATTTTTTAGGGTGAAAACCTTAGGAAGTAACGACGAGACTGACCCCTTCTCACTCACTAGGTGCAGAGAGGGGAAGAGGACGCATCCATCAAGAGGAGGTTACTTGAGGAGAGCAGCCACGACAAATCTGAAGATGTCAATTAGATCTGGGTAACGAGATGGGACCACCCATATATCTGTCTTTAGTTTCATGTCTTAATGAGTATACTGGGAAACCCAAGGATTGTGTTT